ATATATATATATACATACATATATATATGTATAATACATATATATATATATATATATATACATATATATATATACATATATATATATATACATATATATATATATATATATATATTCATTTTAGTATAAGACTCGCGCACCACCTCCACCCATTGTGGCTTTAGATGATCAGACGATAGCAACGAAAGACCTCATGAGGATAGCCACTTTAACGTATCCTTCCAACTGTGTTCTCTCACTTCTGTTCATCTTGTTTTTGCAGACCGATGCTTTCAACTCCCATAACCACAGTTGTAGCCCAGGCGATCTCAGAAAACTGTATGGTTTCGCACGCGGCCTCGATGCTCAAATCAACCATTGGCCCGTCGCCGTTGCTAATTCCACCAGTTGCTGCAGTTGGCCGGGAGTCCATTGTGCTCTGTTGTCCTCTTCCCCGACATCATCATCATCGTCCACTCTCAACTCTACCTTGTTTACCGCCATAAGAGTCGTCGGTCTCGATCTACCTGGGAGAGGTCTTGAAGGGGTTCTCTCAAGGTCCCTGGCTGGTTTAGACAAGCTCAGCTTTCTCAACCTCTCCCACAAGTCTTTCCGTGATCCCATCCCACCAGAGCTATTCCACTTGAAGCTCTTGAAGGTGCTCGACGTAAGCAGAAACCAGTTGACAGGGGAGTTCCCACCGGGTATAGGAAACCTCTCGGGCCTGCAACACTTGGATGTGTCCGGCAACAGGTTCACCGGGATCATCCCTGATGAGTTTCACGGCCTGGCAAAGCTTGAGGTTTTCTCAGCTACATCTAATGAATTTGTCGGTCCGTTGCCCTCTTCTCTGTCCTCGTGCTCGATGCTTACGTTGCTTAATCTATGGAACAATTCTCTTGAAGGTAACATCGACCTTGACTGTAGACGATTAGTTCATCTTGCTACCCTCAACCTTGGATGGAATAGGTTGCAGGGGGTCGTTCCGGAGGTTCTCTCTTCTTGCAAGGCATTGCAGATCCTTAATTTGTCTCTCAACAAACTAAGTGGCCAGGTTCCCGACAAGCTTCAAGACCTTCTTTCTCTCTCCTACCTGAATCTGCATGGAAATAGCCTCTCAAATATTTCAGGAGCACTGAAAGTTCTTCAGGAGTGCCAAAACTTGACAGTTGTTATACTCACCAAAAACTTTGTAGGTGAAGAAATGCCGATTAATGCAATCCGAGGATTTCGAAACATACGTGCCCTCGCCATTATAAATAGTGCTTTGACTGGTTCCCTCCCCTCATGGTTAAGAAATTGCAGGGAGCTCAGATTTCTCGATTTATCATGGAATCGTTTGACCGGAGAGATACCACGGTGGTTCGGAGAGTTTGATCATCTTTTTTTCATGAACCTGTAAAATAACTCAATCTGGGGGTAGATTCCTGTTTCCTTGACGGCGCTAAGGAGCCTTACTTTGGGAGTCAGCTTGCACGAAAATGTTTCTTCCTTCCAACCCCCATTCTTCAATCGGTACAGGGGTGGGCAGAACAATTTGTTGCGGGTTTACAAGCATTACACCGACTTTCCACCAACGCTGAACTTTAGTCGTAACAAAATGAGTGGATCAATATGTTAAAGAGTTTGGGAAGATGAAGTATCTTCATGTGCTGGATCTAAGTAAGAACAACCTCTCAGGTTCTATTCCAGAAGAAGTGTCAAGCATGTTCAACCTAGAGAGATTGGACTTGTCTTTCAATGACTCATCAGGATCCATTCCCTCCTCGATCACCAAGCTTAATTTCCTTTCTTTCTTCAGCGTTGCCTACAATCATTTGCAAGGACTGATTCCGAGTGGAGGTCAGTTCTTAAGCTTCCCCTGTTCGAGCTTTGAAGGAAACCCTGGTCTCCACAGTGATTCCAAAGTCTTCTGCAACTCGACTCTCGGTGCAACGTACCCGAGTGAAGGTGACAATGATGAAGATAAATTCGTGTTGGAGGGACTACCATTTGCAATTGGATTGACATTGGGTTTTCTGCCTACAGTTTACCTTGTAATGTGTTGTCGGGGTCACGGCTACTATTATGATTAAGAAAGAGAAAACAAAAGGCCAAAATGTGAAAACCGCCAGAGAAATCAATGTATCTACCAAATAAATTGATTTGATTATGTATTATCGAGTAATACCGCTCTAAGATTCTCTTCCTTCACAAACTCTACTTGTCCTATAAAAGTCACTTGTTAAAGGGATAAAAAATATGTCTAATTTCTCTTTATAATATGTACTACAGTAATCTTTTTAAGATCATTACAAATCGTCTCAAAATTTTTATTCGGGTAAATATATTCACAATAATATCTTGATGGCTTAGGAAGTAGCCCACTAGATATATAACTCTAAAAGTAAATCCCCTTTTATCTTGACTAAGTTAGACTTTGATAAAGATTATAATAGAATTTCTTGTGCTATCATTCTTAGGGTCCTTCGTATAGATAATTTTTTTAATTAGTTTATATAACAGATCTCTTTGTGTATTTTTTTTTCCATCATTTTCTTGTTTTATCAATGATCAACCATTTTCTTATTTCAGGGGTAAGCATGGGATTAGATAAGGTGATCGAATGATGTCTAATCTTAACGTTTATGCTTAATGATGTCTACAATAAGAAATTCATTACTCCTTTTAACTTCAAATGCTAGTTTAAGATTTATCACCATTTGTTTGTAGATGCTATTCTTCTTTATTAAGAAAGTAAACAAAAGGTCACGTCACATTATTAGAAAAATTTTCACACCTATAAGATCCTCATGAATCAGAAGATTAATTTAAATATGAAGTTTTCTTCCCTAGGAACACCCATAGAATTATTAAAAAGGAGATTTATAATCATTTTTCATTTAGGAGAGGAGCTTCTCTTTGAAGTATTTGGGTACCTTTTTACCTCTAGAAGAATAAGTCAAACTTATCTTGCCGGCATGGTTTAGCCGGTTTTAGATCAGATTGATATTTATCGAGGGAGATCTTTATTGCAAGAGAGTAGAATTATATTAATTAACTCTATGTTGAATTATATCCTTCTTCATTCTTTGAGTGTCTCCGAGATGTTAAATATGATTCTTGATGGGGTGATGAAGTTAGAAAGTTTTTTTTGATATGGTGGTGAAGACTCTCATGACTTATATTTCTTATCTTCAGAGAAGTGTCAAGAGGGGTTAGGCATTAAGTAATAAAAATAATAGAAGATAAAGAACAATAATTGAAGAAGCTTTATTGTAGAAATAAAATAGCTTTAGCTTGAATCTATTAACATGTTCCCTCTCCTCTATCAAGTTGGGGAAATCTTATCTTCTATCATGCCCCCGCAAGATGATGCTCCTAACAAGGATACTAATCTTGGATCGATGCAAAGAATGGTTTAAAGCAAGAGGCTTCGTGAGTAGGGCAAGAGCAGATCGCTGTTGCTGTGAGGGCACAGGTGTTCCCTTCGTTCTCCTTAAGTCCGTCGACTATTGGCAGATCAGCGAAGACTACTGCGGTGAGGAAGATGAGGATTTGCCGTGAAGCCTCTCAGGAATATAGTTGCAGCGGCGTTGGTCGCTGGCCGAAGATAAGGGCGAAGCTTCGCTTTTCTCAGCAGCGTTGGTCGCTGGCCAAAGGCAAGAGCGAAGCTTCGCTTTTCTCACTGCTCTGATACCATGATAAAAATAATAGAAGATAAAGAACAATAATTAAAGAAGCTTTATTATAAAAATGAAATAGCTTTAGCTTAAATCTATTAACATGTTCCCTCTCCTATTTATATAGATTAGGAGGAAGGATTTCTCTCAACAGAATAAACAGAATAGAGAGATTTCCTCATATAATTGGGGAAATCTTATAGTTCACCTTGTAGGGGAGGAGGATCTTATAATATATGAACAATTCTAATAGTTTGTGGTTTGAGATGGTAAGAGCTAAATATGGAAACGTTGATTCTTGAAATATTCAATATTTTACTAAGGATAGTTGGTCTTGGAGATTTATCTACTTTTGAAATATTGTATGATGGATTCTCTATATTTATAAGCAATGGTTCATCTATTAAAACTTTCTTAGATTTATAGATTTTGGATGTGCTTATGCGCTTGAAGCTGATTTTTTATAATATTTCTGAAATGCAAAGTGATTATATGGTTTTGGATTTTATTTTGTTATGGGTGTTGGGATTTGCTCAAGCTCTCGAATGCTGGTTTGGATACTCTCAAAGTCATCACCTGTTCCTTAGACATTGCAAAACTTGATTGAGCGTATCTGCATATGTTGAAGCTTTTTTACTACTTCTTGATCACTCAATTGGCATATCTTTTGTGCTCTGACCTCTTTTTGTACCTTTACGGTTTAGCTAATTAATATATTCTGTTTTTTTTTTTTTGGAAGAATAAAAAAGAGAGAGAGACGCATTTTCCACCAGCAGTAGACTTGGTATAGTAAGCATAACCCGATCAGTGAGGCACCAATTTGCAAGAGTCACACGGATTGAATGGATCAATTTGGGGAGTGTTTGGGAATTTGAAGCATCTTCATATGCTGGATTTGAGCTGGAACAAATTCTCAGGTTCTATTCCTGAGGAACTATCAAGCTTGTAATGCCATAACTTCATCTGTGTTAGCACGACATGATAGAATGTGAATTTGATTTAGGTAGGTCACCTACTAATTTGATTCATCCTAACGAAGAGGAGATATTACTGGTTATCGATTGGGATTGAAATATCACAAGTATTCCTATTAATATTCTTCATAATATCATGCACATCCTTATAATTAGACCAATAAGACTAAAATGGGAATAAAGCAACTTAAATTGTGCCCTAAGAAGATATCCAATTCTAATAAGGGGCATGGTCAAATGTGACCTTAGATAAATATCTAGCATCAAAGTTAGGCAGCCATGCACAAGGGTCCACCTTAGTCTCTTAATCAGTGATCCTAAAGGCCTTTCCTCTCTTCTACTTAACACAGCCATTATCCCTTAAAACAAATCTATTGCTCCTCAATGAAACTACAGAGAATATCTCATTAAAGCTCTTTATCATAAGACGTGTCTTATACCTCTTCATATTATCATTAGAATCCCTTTTGATTTTAAAAATCTATTTACAGTCAATGGGTTTCGTACCTTCTTCTAACGGGACAAGTTTTCAAACTTTATTGTCTTGCATGGACTTTATACTCTTGATTTATTGCTTCAATTCACTTATCCGAATTGGAATCTTCCATGGCTTGATGAAAGTTGATTAGATCATCTTCCATTATATCACTACTTGTTTCATGTTCCTGGAGAAATACTATATAATCATCCAAAATGACACTCCTCCTTTCCCTAGTGGATCGTTGCAAAGGTGTTGCTCTTGCGGCACGGGTTCTTGAGGATATTGAGTTTGTTCCTCATGAATAATTTTCTTGTACTGTATGGGAGTTGAAATAACTATATATCTTTTTGAGGTACTGATTTTGTCATGTTAGTGGTAATTATATGAATTGAATTAGACTGAACCAATTCTTCCTCAAAGGTAAAGTCTTTAACCTTATTTCTCCCCTCAAACTCAATATCCTCAAAGAATATAGTAATACCCATCTCAAAAATATTTTTTGATTTAGGATCATAAAATTTATACCTCTTAGATTGTTCAGAATAATCAATAAAATAACTACTCACTGTTCGGGGTTCCAATTTCTTTTCATTAGGCCTGTAAGGCCTTGCCTCAACTGGACAACCCCATATACGAAAGTATTTTAGACTAGGTTTTCTCCTGGTCCAAAGCTCATAAGATATTTTTGTAATTGTTTTAGTTGGTATTCTATTAAGAATGTAAGCTGTAATTTTTATTACTTCTCCCCAAAGTAACTCTAGCAAAGTAGATTGAGAAATCATACTTCTTACCATATCCTTAAGTGTGCGGTTTCATCTTTCAGCTACATCATTCATGCTAGGTGACCATGGCATTGTATGCTGAGGGATAATTCCACACTCCTCTAGGTATAAAGAAAATGGTCCTAGACATTGTTCACCTAAGCCGTCATTTCTATCGTAATATTCTCCTCCACGATCAGATCTGATACTTTTTATCCTTTTGCTGAGTTGATTTTCAACTTCAACTTTAAATATTTTAAACACATCCAAAGACTAAGATTTTTCATGTATTAGATACAGGTATCCATATTTAGAGTAATCGTCTATAAATGATATAAAGTATTGTTGATCATTCCACGAAGATATAGGAAATGACCCACAAATATCTGTATGTATTAATTCTAAGACGTCCGTAGCTCTATATGCACCTGATCTCTTAGGTTTGGTTTGGTTTGTTTACCTTTGCATTCAACACAAACATCTAAACCTGATAAGTCAATAGGATCAAGAATCCCTTTTGACATAAATCTTTCAACTCTATTTCTAGATATGTGACTCAAACGTTTATGTCACAATACACCCAAATTTTAAATTTTATATTTAGTACCTTGCAATTCCACATTCAGGGATTTATGATATGATGCTATAGTGTTAGGTAAATATAGATTGTCATATACCATAAGTGAACCAGTTCCAATCATATTTGAATTTAAAGACAAAATAAATTGATTATTTCCAAATGAACAAGAATAACCAGATTTGTCCAAATAAGAAATAGAAATTAAATTATGTCTAAATGACGTTACAACAAAAGTATCTTTCAATTTCAAATAATATCCGGTATGCAATAACAATCTAAATATGCCTATAGTTTCCACATCTATTGATTTCCGTCTCCCACATAAATGCTTCTCTCAGTATCATTGGGCCTTCGGTAGCTTAGGCAACCTCGTATTGAAACACTAATGTTAGTTGTTACACCAGAGTCTAACCATCACGTGTTTTTAGGTACTAAAGTTAAATTGACTTTAGAACAAACTAAAGTAAGGAATGTACCCTTTTTAGCACGCCAAGCATGATATTTGGCATAGTCCTTCTTTAAATGCTCAGATTTCTTACAGAAGAAATAAGTATTATCCTTATTTTGTTTCTTTTGCACTAGACCCTTATCAACCTCATTCGTTCTAGATTTGTATTTTCTTTTATTGCCCTTAAAGTTGGTTTTGTTTAGAATCGGTACTGAATTGAAGTTGGCAGATTTTGTTGCAAGAGAACAATAGACAACTAGAAATTATGCTCATATCTATTACCATAAACTTAACTAAATTCAAATAATGATATAACTCATCTCAAGATACTAAGTGCAATATTAATATCTTGTCTTTCGACTTCAATATTAATTGCTAGTGGTAGTCTTATTGTAATGATCAAACACTGATAATAAGGTATATCAAATGAGAAACTCATCTTTGGATTGATTTATCATTTACATGTATAACTTTATAATTGTCACATGTTTATCATTACAAGTATGTATAAAATCCTATCAGTCATTAACCTTCGGGCTAGGTAATTACCACATGGATGTAAATATATACTACATTTAATTTTTTCATGAGAAATATTATATATGAGAGGTCACTTTGACGACTTCATACATTAAATTACTCAATCTAATATTAAATAATCACTAATTAAATTTTAACCATATTAGTCAAATTATCTTGACCTTAATTTGTTGACTAAAATATTTAATATATGTAAACCATTCAATTTATGTCAACAAACAACTTTATAGAACTAATATTATGTTTAAACCAACATAATATTATAATAATATTATTATTAATTAAATTTGCATATTGCAACAACATAATTAAAATAACATAATATTACAATAATATAAATTTAATCAATAAAATCCAAAGTGAATTTGAGAAATTTATGCCTTATATTGCAAAAATAAATTTGCATATTGTGAAAAGGAAAGACACGAAGAGGAAAATACATCTCAAAATTAGGGTGATATAATATCAGAAAAAAAGACACTGAACTGAATGTGAAGCATGTGTAGTATGATTATATAAAACCATCATCTTTCTCAACAATGATAGAACCAAATCACTCCAAAATATTAATAAAAATATTATTAAAATACATAAAAAAACAAACCTAGATGTTCAACAATCTTTGTAGGATGACTTTGATACTAATTGTTAGGTCTTTAACATATCAAATATGGATCAAATAATTATTTTATAGAATCAAAACTGGATTTTGGTTCAAACATGCTTTATAGATCCAAAATAAGATTTTAGAATCTTTTCATAAAACTTATTGAATTCATAATAATATGCATGAAATCCTACAACAATTAAGAAACATATTAATACGGAAGCATACCTAATGAATCCATTAGAGTATTTTCTGAATTAATCGATGATTTAATCTTCCAATTGCAGAATATTCTTAAGAACTTTAGATTTCTCTTTCACGGGTCAAGAGAAACTTCATAAATACTACAATCGGGGACCATAACCGTATTTATATTCATAACTGATGAATCTACAATTATGATTATATTCATAATTGATGAATCTACAACTATACCTCAAGAGTTTTATATTCCTAACGTATCCCGTCATTAAGTTAGAATAAGTTAGAAATATGACGGATGGTATCAACATAATTAATTTTTATAATAATTATATTTCTTAACCAAATAATTTTAATTAGATCATTTTAATTTTAATTAATTAAAAATAATAATTTAATATATTTAATTATGCATGTATGAGCTTTGAAATTCTAACAGAAACCGCTTGTCAGGCGAGCTTCCACTAAATATAGCAAACATCACAAGCATCCACCATTTGGATGTCTCTGACAATAATTTCACCGGGAACATTCGTGATGTGTTTCACGGCCTGCAAAACCTCGAGGTTTTCTCAGCTAAATCCAATGTTTTTGTGGGTCGATTGCTCACGGCGTTGTCCTTGTGTTCGATGCTTACGTCTCTTGATCTATGGAACAATTCTCTCGACGGTAGCATCGACCTCGACTTGGGACGATTAGTCCGTCTTACCACGCTCAACCTTGGATACAATATATTACAAGGGCTCATCCCGGAGGTTCTCTTTTCTTGCAAGGCATTGAACATCTTGAATTTGTCTCTCGACAAATTAAGTGGACAGGTTCCCAAGAAGTTTAGCAACCTTCGATCCCTCTCCTACCTGAATCTGAATGGAAATAGTCTCTCAAATATTTCGGAGGCACTGCAAGTTCTCCAAGAGTGCCATAACTTGACAGTGCTTGGTTTGACCCAAAACTTCCAAGGTGAAGAAATGCCGAGGCACGGAATCCGAGGGTTTCCAAACCTACGTTCTCTCACCGTCGGAAACTGTGGATTGACAGGTTCAATCCCCTCGTGGTTAAGAAATTGCAGAGACCTAAGGGGTGTGGATCTGTCATCTAATCATCTGAGCGGAGAGATACCGTCGTGGTTCGGAGGTTTTGATCATCTCTTTCGCTTGATCTTGTCAAACAACTCGTTCTATGGGGAGATCCCAGTCTCCTTGACAGAACTGAAGAGTTTGACTTCAAGGGTAACCCTCCTGCAGGATGACGATTTGTCAGGAAGCATTTCGTCTTCCCTCGCTTGGCTTACTTTTTATGTCTTTCTTCAGTGTAGCTTACAATCATTTGCAAGGAGTAATTCCAAGTGGAGTTCGGTTCTCGAGCTTCCCCTGTTCAGGTTTCGAAGGAAATCCCGGCCTCTACAGTAATTCTATGCTTTTCTGCAACTCAACTCTGAGTGCAGCAAACCGCAAGGAAGATGATGATTACGACGAAGACAAATTCGTCTTCTTCGGAGCTCCATTTGCAGTTGGATTGATAGTAGGTTTTCTGCCCACGCTTTACCTTTTAATGGGCTGGTGGGATCAGAACTAGGAGTATGATTAAGAAGAAGAAAATTGAAAGGGCAAGCTACCAACCATGTTAAAAGCCTTGTTCGATTCCCATGGATGCACGTCACAAAACGTACATTGGGTTGGGACTGTTGTACAAAATGCAGTACAAGAGATTTAAATAAAGAATAGCAGATATCCTTAAACTGGAAACCACATAAAATGATAAGCAGAACATTATTCTAAAATGCTGGCTCTCAAGAATCCTAATTGGGCCTAACTGACACATAAAGACATTAAACATAATAATAATATATCATCACATGGAATTGTGCCCAACCCCAGGCCAATTTGGTGAGCCAGACTGGGATTAGACTGCTTGGCCCAAATAGATTAAAGAGGCAATGTGCTCCTAAATCCTCAGTTTCACCTACATGTATTTCTTGTGAGTTCACGTGCTATCTCATTTCTCATTTAAATAGGATGGGGGCAGGCACGGGGAATTCCCACTGGGGTAAAGAACCCATGGGTTTTCATATTCTCTTAATTAATTTTATTTAATTTTATTTTATTTATAAAATATAATAATTATTAAAATTAATTATTATATAATATAATAATATAAACTAAGCGGGAACGGATATGTGAATGAATGGGGAGTGCTCTATCCATCCCCACCGTGATAATAAAAAATAACATTTAATACAATTGACGATAAATCGAAAAAAAAATCCGATCATATCGGATCGGATCTTAAATGTTGAACCAGTTCAATCTTTAAGCTGGAATGGGCTTCGGCCTGCCTGCCCAATTTGTACCTCGTCCTGCTCCGAAAAGCCACGGGCGATGATAGCACGAGGGACCAAATTTGGGGCGGGTTGCGGTGGCGGAATGGTGAGGGTATCCCGTGTTCTCCTTTTCAAGGACGGCGGCGGAGGTGGCGGCAATGCACTCCTCACGGTGCTTTCCGAAATCTTGGTCTGCCCTCTCTCCAAGCAGCCCCTCAGGTTCTTTTCCCTCCACCAGAAGAAGATTGTTTCGTCTCTACCCATGCAATTGCTTCATTCATTTCTCCAAGTTTTGCTCTTCCATTCCAGGCATTGTCCAGATTCCCGGTCCCTGGTCAGCGATGCCGTCGGTGTTTCGTTTCCGGTGAGTCTCGATTATCTCTTCCCTCTCCTCTAATCACCCTACAATTCTGTGATGTTCGATTCAGAAGAAGAAGAAAGGAGAAAAAGACCACTGATGCATTTTGGTGCTTATCTTCTGCTAGTTTATCTTCTCTGCAATGAGTTGTAGCTAGAAAGACAATAGTTCTATGTAGAAAGCTAAATACGTTCATAACGGACAGAGAGATAATTCGATCCCAAAACAACCAACGTGATATTGGGGCCGAGACAAGCCATGACCTCTATGGCCCCTGAGATACTATTGTCTGGATGGAACATGGAACCTCTCGGCAGAGCATGTGGGCGGTAGGGGAGGACAACTGTTGTGGAGTAAAACGCCTCGACCATGCTGTATCTTAGGTGATCCCTTGTCTTGCTAGTGCTGAAGAATCCGAAATTGCTTCAGCTGAGAACCTCCTTTGTCACGGCCTTAGCTGGAATTGCCTAAGGCGTGAGGCACCCTTGCGGCCAAAGACGCGAACTTAGCTTGCTTTGCCTAAGTCGCGAGTCACCCTTGTGGCAAAGACGCGAACTTAGCTTGCGTTGCCTAAGTCGCGCTTCGCCCTTGCGATATTGCTCCACAAGAATCAGCCCACTTGTAACCTCTCGCAGGTCCCGAAGGACCTGTAAAAGAGAAAGTTGGTTAGTTCGAAAGAACGAGCAACGGATAAGTCCCGAAGTCTCGCGAAAAGGGGAAGCTTTACAAGCAATTCAGCGAGCACCTTGCGTGCACAAGAGAAAAGAGGGAGAGGGAGAAAACAAGGCTTTAGAAGGATGAACGAACAGCTACAAGCCCACAAAACAGCCGCTCACCTGGTCCCGGGAGCGAAGACAAGTTCCTGTAAAGGCCACGTGCGAACTTGCGAAAGAGAGTTCAACGCCCAGTATATAACCGAAGCCCCATCCAGCCCTGTGCCACCCGGGGGGTTCAAAGGGGCTGAGATGGCTGACATTTTGGTGAGCGGAGGCAGTTCTCCGCAACCCTCCTGCGGCACGCGAAAACGGAGCTGTTTTAGGGCTGTTTTGCTCGGTTCGGTGAGCGGTTGCTTTGTAACGCTGCAGCTTGTTCGAACTTACATATTTACAAGCAAAATGACCCAAAACCAAGAGAAAACATGCTGTCAAGCAGCTGTACATGCAGGTGTGAGCGACGAATGGTTCGTTGAACGGAGTTGTTGCGGGTGCGCGATGACCGTTCGTGACATTCTCCCCCACTTAAATTGTCGACGCCCTTGTCGACGCTTGTTGGTAGTTGTTAATGACTTTTTCTTCATGTCGCAGGGCGTCTTCAGGCTCCCAACTGGCTTCAGTTCGGGGAAGTTTTCGCCACTTCACCAAGTACTCTGTCTGCTCAGCTCCGTTGGGTAGCTTTATTTTGCGGTCCGCCAGAATGGTTTCTACTCGCTTCTTGTAGGAGGCTGTGATGGGAGGTAGCCGAGTTGGAACACTTCGGGAAGCATCTCGCGGATCCGAGTGGTAGGCTTTTAGGTTGCTGGCGTGAAGAACGTTGTGAATTTTGAACCACGCCGGCAGTTGCAACTTGTAAGAGACGTTGCCTACCCTGCTGATAATTGGGAAGGGCCCTTCATACTTGCGCACCAATCCTTTATGGACTCTGTTCCTAAAGAATTGGAGTGATGCTGGTTGGATCTTTACCAACACCAAATCGCCAACTTTGAACTCTTGCGGTCGTCTTCCCAAGTCTGCCCACTTCTTCATCCTTTTTGCCGCCTTCTCCAAGTAAGCCCGCGCAATATCTGCATTTCGATGCCACTCCTTTGCGAAATGATAGGCTGATGGACTACTCCCAGTATACCCAATTGCCATGGTGTGCGGAGTCGACGGTTGTTGTCCTGTGATAATCTCGAAGGGGCTCTTGTTGGATGCAGAGCTCCGCTGCAAGTTGTAGGAGAATTGGGCAATGTCCAACAGCTTCACCCAATCTCGTTGATTGGCACTCACGTAGTGCCGGAGATATTGCTCCAAGAGCGAGTTTATCCTTTCAGTCTGGCCATCCGTCTGAGGGTGGAGGCTTGTAGAGAAGTATAACTTCGACCCCAACAATTTGAACAGCTCGGTCCAGAATCGTCCCAGGAACCGAGCGTCTCGATCGCTAATGATATTGTGCGGGACTCCCCAATACTTCACTACATTCTTCATCATCAGCTTGGCCGCCTCCTCTGCTGAACAGTGTAGGGGAGCAGCAATGAAAGTTGCATACTTTGAAAACCGATCGACCACCACGAGTATCGATCCGAGTCCCCCTACAGGTGGCAAGCTTGATATGAAATCCAAGGAAATGCTCTCCCACGGCCTTTCTGGTACGGGCAACGGCTCCAAAAGTCCCACCGGCTTCCGCTGCTCCACCTTGTCTTGTTGGCAAGTAAGGCATGTTCGAACATATTCCTCCACATCAATCCTCATCTTCGGCCAGTAGAAGGCCCTCTCCACGAGAGCCAACGTTCTGTGAATGCCTGGGTGTCCAGCCCAAAGGGAATCGTGACACTCTTTTAAGAGCTCACGCCTTAAATTGTCCACTCGGGGAACATAAACCCTATTCCCTTTTGTGTAAACAAGTCCCTCCTAGACCCAAAATCATCGTGCCTTGCCTTCTTTGATGAGCTGCATCAGGATAACTGCCTGGGGATCACTATACAGTCCATCCCTGATTCGGGAAAGGAAGTTGGAGTGCAATTGACTTGCTTGGCCTCTGCCCTCCAGTTGTACGGCATTCACGCATTTCACTTTCCGACTCAGCGCATCGGCCACGACATTCGCCTTCCCGGGCTTGTACTCCATTGCCATATCAAATTCAGCCAGGAAGTCCTGCCATCGCGCCTGCTTTGGGGAGAGCTTCTTCTGAGTTTGGAAATAGCTCAGGGCGATGTTGTCCGTCCTCGGCACAAATCGCGACCCAAGGAGGTAGTGTCACCAAACTCGTAGACAGTGGATCACTGCTGTCATCTCCTTCTCATGCACTGGATACCGCTGCTCGGTCTCGTTGAGTTTGCGGCTCTCGTAGGCCACCGGATGACCTTCCTGCATGAGTACCCCCCCAATAACGAAGTCCGAAGCATCTGTATGGACTTCAAAGGGCTCTCCATAGTTCGGCAATTTGAGTACCGGTTCTTCTAGAACAGCAGCCTTCAGATCTTGGAATGCTATCTCACATTTGTCAGACCACTTCCAAGGCTGCTCCTTCTTCAGCAACTCCGTCAGTGGGGTTGCCCGCTTCGAATATCCCGCTATGAAGCGTCGATAGTAGTTGACGAAACCAAGGAAGGATCTCAACTCTGGCACCTTCTTTGGAGTTCGCCATTTCGCAACTGCTTGCACCTTCGACTTATCCATCCGAATGGAGCCATCACCGATTCGATGCCCCAAGAATAAGATCTCAGTTTGAGCAAAGTAGCATTTCTCCCTTTTTACGAACAAAGTGTTCTCCCTGAGAACCTTGAAAATCGTCTGAAGGTGCTTGACGTGCTCCTCGAGCGTTTGACTGTAAACAACGATATCGTCCAGGTAGACGACCACAAACTTATCCAAATACTCCTTGAATAGCTGGTTCATGAGAGTGCAGAATGTGGCCGGAGCGTTGGTTAAGCCGAAAGGCATCACCAAGAACTCAAACGCTCCATACCTGGTCACACAAGTAGTCTTCGCTTCGTCGCCTTCAGCAATGCGCACCTACCAATACCCCGACCGAAGGTCAAGTTTTGAGAAATACTTAGCCTTGCCCAATTGGTCGAACAAGTCCGCAATGAGCGGGATGGGATACTTGTTCTTCACTGTTACTTTGTTGAGGGCTCGGTAGTCGACGCATAATCGGAGGCTCCCATCTTGTTTCTTCTGGAAGAGAACTGGAGCTCCGAAAGGTGGTTTAGAGCTGCGGATGAGACCATCGCTTAGCAGTTCACCTAACTGCTTCCTGAGTTCTGCCAACTCTGGCGGGGGCATGCGGTAGGGTGGTCTCGCTGGAGGCTTCACTCCTGGCTCCAGCTCGATGCTGTGATCCACGCCTCTGCGTGGTGGAAGAGTCTTCGGCAACTCGGGTGGCATAACGTCTTTGAACTCTTTTAGGACGTTCGCCACCACAGCAGGTTCTTGAATGGTCTCCTCGTTGAGTGGCTCTAGCTTCATAGCAGCCACGAATGTCAATTCGCCTTTTCGCACCCCCTTCTTCAGTTGTAATGCCGAAATGTGTTGGGGCTCCTTAGTTCCTCTCCAAGAGACGGGAACCACGCAGGGGTCATCGCCTCCTATCATACATAGGGAGTTCAAGAACGGCATCGGCACCAACTTCGCCGCGTGCATAAACTCCATTCCAAGAATCACTTGGAAGTCGTCCAGTGGCACGGCCATCATGTTGGTGTTTCCGCTCCAAGTCCCGATTCTGATGGGAACTCCCTTCGCCAATCCGGAGATTCGCTTGGCCTCCGAGTTCACCGCTTTCATTCGGCTTGGGCTCTTCTCCAAGATCAACCCAAGTCGCTGTGCTTCACGATCGGCTATGAAGTTGTGGGTAGCGCCCGTGTCCACCATTGCACGGGTCATTTGGCCATTTAGCTTGATGTCCACATACATCAGCTCACTACTTCCTGCTTTTTGTACCTTAGTCTTCATGTTCTCCCCCACTTGACCCCGCATAGCGTTCAACAAATGCATTGCTCCCATTCGGGGTCTTTGCGACTCCTCGTCGTCGCTGCTGGATTCAGAACTGCTTGAACTAAGAGCAACAACTTTGCCCTTGTCCGATCGGGGGGGGGGTGGGTGGAAGCCGTCAAAGCATTGAGTGTTTGTTTTTGTGGGCACTCCCTTACCATGTGCGGTCCTCCGCACAAGAAGCATCCTTCAGGTTTTGAGGCCTTGCCTTTCGGGTTCGGCCCTTTGTGGGAGCTCTTCTTCTTTTGTTCGCCCCCAAGCTCCTTCCCTCGAGAATGCTTTGGAGGTCAATTGCCTGAAGATTGTTTCCTTCTTGCTGGGTCTTCAGAGGAAACAAAGTCGGTGAGCCTTTCTGCAGCAGCAATTGCCCCGACCACATCGGTAACATTCCTTCGATTTAGCTCCTGTTGAGCCCATGGTTTCAAACCATCGAGGAAGCTGAACAACTTGTCATTCTCGGACATGTCCTGTATGTCCAGCATTAGTGCAGAAAACTGTTTCACATAGTCTCGGATGGTGGTACTTTGGCGGAGTTGTCTCAACTTCCTTCTTGCGACGAACTTTGTGTTCTCCGGTAGGAACTGAGTTCTCAACTCCCGCTTAAAGTCCTCCCACGTGTCGACTCGACACCGACCTTGTTGGATGTCCTCCCAACGAGTTCGCCACCAAAGTTTCGCATCTCCGTTCAGATACATTGTTGCTATGGAAACTTTGGTATCTTCAGAATCGGGCTTCGTAGCTCGGAAGTATTGTTCCATGTCGAACAGAAAGTTCTCGAGCTCTTTGGCATATCTGGCCCCTCCATATCCATGAGGCTCAGGTGCCCTCAAATTTTGTGGCGGTGCAACGCAGGTGTTGCTTCCTCCCGCATTTAGTGTTCTAGTGAGCATGGCCACCTTTGCAGTGAGTTCCGCCACAACATCCTGTAAGTGTTGCACGGAGTCTTTGGTGTCATCAGACAATCGGTCGACTAGGGCCTCGACCTTGTCGATCCTGGACTCCGCTTCCTCTTGCGAGCTCTCTACCCCAACAAGCCTTTGTTGGCTATGGTAGAGTTCCTCCATGCTCGCTTCAAGAACATCCAGGCGGGTTTCTGCCGTTGTGAGTCTCTCCTTGTGACTCTTTTTCCCAGTTAGCGCTCCAGATTGCGCTTCCTCCGCTCGCGGAGAGTAGCCAACTTCTCGCTCATCCTGTTCGCTGCCGCGCTCCTCTTGAGCGGCTCCAACAGCATGAGAGCGAGTGTGCACATGCAGCCCACCTGCGGCTGCTTGGGGCAAGGGTCCAGCTTGCCCCGTCTTACTTGATTCGCCACGATGCTTTGCCATGGCGAAGTTGCGAAGTTCGTTCGCTGCTCGCTCGAAGTGCTTGCCCGCTCTGATACCACAATGTCACGGCCTTAGCTGGAATTGCCTAAGGCGTGAGGCACCCTTGTGGCCAAAGACGCGAACTTAGCTTGCTTTGCCTAAGTCGCGAGTCACCCTTGCGGCAAAGACGCGAACTTAGCTTGCGTTGCCTAAGTCGCGCTTCGCCCTTGCGATATTGCTCCGCAAGAATCAGCCCACTTGTAACCTCTCGCAGGTCCCGAAGGACCTGTAAAAGAGAAAGTTGGTTAGTTCGAAAGAACGAGCAACGGACAAGTTCCGAAGTCTCGCGAAAAGGGGAAGCTTTACAAGCAATTCAGCGAGCACCTTGCGTGCACAAGAGAAAAGAGGGAGAGGGAGAAAACAAGGCTTTAGAAGGATGAACGAACAGCTGCAAGCCCACAAAACAGCCGCTCACTTGGTCCCGGGCGCGAAGACAAGTTCTCGTAAAGGCCACGTGCGAACTTGCGAAAGAGAGTTCAACGCCCGGTATATAACCGAAGCCCCATCCAGCCCTGTGCCACCCGGGGGGTTCAAAGGGGCTGAGATGGCTGACGTTTTGGTGAGCGGAGGCAGTTCTCCGCAACCCTCCCGCGGCACGCGAAAACGAAGCTGTTTTGGGCTGTTTTGGGGCTGTTTTGCTCGGTTCGGTGAGCGGTCGCTTTGTAACGATGCAGCTTGTTAGAACTTACATATTTACAAGCAAAATGACCCAAAACCAAGAGAAAATATGCTGTCAAGCAGCTGTACATGCAGGTGTGAGCAACGAACGGTTCGTTGATCGGAGTTGTTGCGGGTGCGCGACGACCGTTCGTGACACCATGGTGGCAAAGCTTTCTCCGCTACCCAAGAGCTGCAGGTCCTTCAGGCTGTCGTATGGTTGGAAACAAATTCTAGACTATGGATAATTGAAGTTGTATAATTTATTGCATTAGTATTAAGTTCAGAATTCAGATACTTGATTCTAAGGCACCAACTTTTTTTACTGGACTTTCACGTTATTAAGATTTCCAGAAAGAGAAATTAATGGTTTGTCATACATAGATTAGACTTTCTTTAGAGTTTTACCTTGATTAATTGAATTGTCACTTGTGCACAAAGATTTTCATCTCATAGTTTCTACTTCAACTTGTTGTGGTCAAACTTATTATTCCAATGTTCATCCATCTGTCATCGTCTAAAATCCATTTCCGTAGTCGTGATATCTCTAAGAAGTTATCATGACTTCATGTTAAAACCTGCTTATGAACCAATTCTTGCTTTGGGGGAAAACATTGGAAGAGTATTAAGGTAAAAGGTCAATGACATGGTACAGAAAATCATATGGATTTAGCTGTAGAAACTTCAGGGTCATTATCATGATATATTTCCTAGTTCTTTAGCTTTAAATAGTGGTTTTCTTTCTTTCTTTTTTTTCTTTTTTGCTATGCTTGATCCCTTCAGAAAACCCTGATATAAGTGGCTGAAATATGCATAATATTTGCAATATCCTGTGGGAGTTTGAAATTTGAACTTGTAAGAGTCGAGGAAAAAAGGGAAAGTTGTAGACTTTCTCAAGTTCCTATATTTCTGCTTCTGTCATTTACTTTTGTGCTAGATCATGCATGTCACTGCTTATATCAGATCTTATGTACTCGTGACTATCTGATCTTGCTTTTGGTGCTTTATTTAGATCGTCAATGGAATCCCTTGTTTGGTGCCAAAGGATGGCAAGTTGCTGGAGGATCAAATCAAATTGAAAGTTGATGATTCATGTATTGCCAAAGGTGAAAGTTGATTAATATCAAACTGTGCAAGTTTGCAGAAAGCAATGATTTTGAGAGTTGTTAGGACTTTAGCAGCATTAGATTTGGGTTCTTATTTCATCTGAGTATGTGAAAGATACAACTATTTGAAACTGTTCGTTTGTTTTGAGCATATCTTTACTAAAAGAATTGACTTAGAACCAAAATAGAAATTCATTTTATGTGATCTTCTTGCTAGTGATTTTGGCCAATGGGTTCAGAAAAGTCCATTTGATTCTTCTGTCGGTGCATGATATAAATAAAGTTCTTGCACTTGTTTGTAGAATGGGAAGTCATCCTTTTACGTTGCTTAGCCTTTTTCTTTCTTTTCCATAAAATGTTCTGTTAGTCTATATTTTAGCTCATGGCGATTTATAATGTTGATCCTCCTTTATCATGCATTGGACTGGCTCAAGTAGATGCATGCTTGTGGATTCAACATCTGATGGATTTTAATTCTTTGGAATCTAATGCATTGCGGACCATCGATTTCAGGGTCCAGGCGAGAGAGACAACTGAGAATCCAGTGAGACGTATTCCCAATTGTATTACTGCATTTAGAATTTAGCATATGTAGTTCGAAGGAAGAGTTATTGGATGGTGTCCTTCGTCTTGCCTGCGGCATGTTGAGATGATTAAGTTAAATCAATCTGTCAGCGAATGTGATGCAAAGGAAATGTGTAAGGTCGTGATGGCTTCAACAATTTGTTTTGCGAAGTTTCCATCTTCCGGAATGCAGATGATTTGACAGGTGAGTACCAAAGTAGCCAGTTGGCTTTCTTGTAGACAGACCCACATCTACATTGACCAACCGTCAGGTGCCGCGTCCGGTCAAAGCATGGGAATCAAACAGTGCGACAACTTTGATAGCCCCTCCTTCACTTGCTTTCATGGTGACGCTCAACGTTCGACACGATGTCGGTGACGAATGGCCAATCTACACCTGGGTCAAAAGGCAAAACGTTTAAGCCGCGCCCCTCGTGGCACCGCAGCTCCACCGTGGTGAGGAGAGCCGAATTAGCGGAACAACAAAACTCCAGCCGTTCCACGTGCATGGAAGGCAAACCAACACTGGGTCATGGTGGACTGCAATTATGCGCTCGAGATGACCGCAGGTGCCCCGCGCCGCTTAAAACACGATGACAACGTCCTCTCTGATAGAAATAAATATGAAATATTAATTTTATATTTTTTATATTTTAACCTCCAATCAATATATGATTTAAGCAACAATAATCATTATATATATATATATATATACATGATTTAAACATATAATTAAATAATTTTAAAAATCTGTACATATATATATATATATATATATATATATATATATACATATATATATATATATACATATATATATATATATACATATATATATATATATACATATATATATTATCTCAAATGATTTCATTATTTTTTCACAATAAATTTTTCATTATATCATAACTATTTTGCCTTCTCTCCTTGAACTACTATCTTCCCTCGTAGCCATCCTCTCTCTGCTGTAAAGTTATCTTCTATTTTCCACATGTAGATCCAAAGATCATAATCTCTATAACATTGTCTATCACTTCTTGATTATTCTTAATCCCCTTGTTACGTCACTGTCTTCGCTGCAACAAAAGATATGCTCTATATCATATCTGCTCACTATTATTGCTCATTGATTAGGGTGTCTCATTACTCCCTCACCCATGTCTTCTCCTCTCCATCGACCACCTTCTCCCATTATAGGCGACACTCCCTTTTCTCTAACTCATGACCAATAGCATGTTCTTTGTTGTAACCTATCGACGATATTGCATAGCATTGGCCCCTCCCTAAATCTGCTATTGTCCACTGCTACTTCGGCATGCACTCTCTTCCAACTACTTGTGAGATCTACTTCGATGGCTTCTCTTCTAACCACCAAAACTTTTACTTCGATGACACCTCTTGAGCGTTAAGATTTTGCTCTTGATATTGATTTGATTTAATCTACCTTAATACAACGGTGCTTAGCCCCCGTTGGTGCACGATAACAACACCTTCATCCAGTTAACATCCAACCACATCCAACATTTATGTCCTTTTCCTCTGGCTTTGACACTTCGATAATTATTTCTTCGGGGAATAATAGTTCATCTCAAATTATAAGACTCATCTACATTAATGAAACTTTGATCCATTTCAAACTCTTGAAAGACGATAATTATACATCCTAACGAATACAATTTACTAACCTTCTATAGAAATATGATCTTCCAGATTATGTCAATGGCTCTCTCAATTGCTCACCCGAAAATATTGAAATAACAAAATAACCAATCTTAATGGCAAATCCTAATAATAAATTATGGTTCTATCAAGATAGACTTATTCAATAAGCCATTCAAGCCTTAAAATTACTAGCTTTATAGCATTATTAATCTTTTTATACAACACTACAATAGAAACATAGTCTAAGTTACAAACCATATTCACTGATCGCCATACACTCGAATACTAAGTCTTTTATTTATTCTGATAAAAATAATCTAAAATTAAAAGTTATTATAGATGATTTGACTTTATTAGGTTATGAATAATGAAGAATTTATAGTTCGTACTCTCAATGGCTCATAGACGAATATAAAGAACTAATAATAATAATTTAGGCACATGACTTACCATTGTCATTTGAAGAATTGTGTGATAACTTGATTGATCATGAAATGTATCTAAAATAAGAAAAAAAAGAGGATAAGATCAATTATCACAATTCAATTCAATCAAATATCTAAAGGAAAGAGCAATTAAAGCAATAAAAACTCCAATAAATGATTAAACAAGATGTCTCCCGAATACATAACATACAAAGTCATTATCTTTCATTATATTATCAACTCATCAACTATGATAATAACTTTAACTAAAATAACTTAAGAAATAACTTTAACTATAATAATCACTGTGCTAAAAAGTCATTTGCCAACTCTAACATCCAATATTAATAATCAAACAAAAAATCATCTAACAACTCTATGGTAAAATAGGATACATAAGAAAAGTTTATTGATCTCGACTCAAGCTTCCGGTCATACCAAATTGGCCTAAAGTAAACATCATGATTACTTCGACTATTCATCCACGTAATTGAATTATCAACTCTGGTGCTTCTCATCATATCATATATAATATGTAGAATTTATCTATTCATACTAACTATGGAGAAATAAATACATCATTATTTGGACGATAATAGCACTTCTATCACTCAGACTAGTTTCACAAATACTTAAGTTATATAGAATATTTTTACACTGGATAATTTTTTATATGCACATCACAATAGTGGGAACATTAATTGTCTCTTAATTTTATAAACAATAACACTTCTATTTAGTTCTTTTTTATTCGTTTCAAGGATATGAATAAAGACAACATGAGACCGTTAACTTTATAAATCACTTAGCTAATCACTCTTACTTTAGTTATTACTCCAGTTGATGTGCATCCGTGGCTTGGTTATCCGTCATCCTCCATTCAATAATAACTAATTTCTCATTACTCACTTTTAATTTTTAAATCAAATAAAACTGTAATTTATTGTGATGTTTGCCTTAAATACTAAAAGTCATGGGTCGCCTTGGTTCAATCACATCTTTTGATAATTTTAAATTTTATATTATTTTAATATATTAGTTAATTAAATATACACCTCTCAGATATAAATATGAAATTATCAGTCTTCACTTATTTTAAAATTATGATCGATATAAAAGATGAATATCAAACTTTAATTTATTCTTTTTCATGTAATATACTATTCAAAATTTCCATCTCACACACTTTAATTAGTTAAGTCTACTAAACAAAAATACCAACACAATTGAAACTGATATCAACCTCCTCTACCCGGCCTTCCTCTACCCGGCAGTCATACCATAACATCTCAAGTAATATTTTAATTTACATTCCTTACATATTATAATTTTTAAAAATTAAATTACTAATATATATAATTTAACTATATAACTAAAAAATATTTTTTTTAAAAAAAATATAAATATATATTATTTCAATAAATGATCTCATCATATCATTCATAATAAATTTTTTTACCCCTTTCTTGGAGGGGCAGCCCACACCACTCCAAACGAGTCAGCACCAATTTAATCCCTGTTCCCATCTATGTCAATCACCATCAACCACATCATTGGGTTCGATGCGTACCACAACTCGTCCTACATAAACCGTGAGCGAGAGAGAGGAGGGGCAGGCAGACAGGCTCCTCATCGAATGCTCGAGTTCAGGATGACAATTTGGGTTACATACTATTTCTGCACAGGCACTAGCATAATACGACTGACTGTTTTGTTTCAGGGAAATGGAAAGGGGAGGGCATGACTTAGCAGTGAAGGAAAGATTTTGATGAAAGCGTGGCGAGAGGACTCTCTGCTGCTGCTAAATGTGCGCTCCTCCTTTCTTTCCGACATTCTTCCTCAAAATGGCGCGGTGGAGCTCCTTTGGAGTGTGTTGCTTTTGTGTTGTTGGGCAACCATTGCGGAACGAAGCTGCCCACAGTGCAAACAACACGAAAAAGAGACGCAAGAAACACTTGGAACACCTATAATGAATGGAGTGTAATTGTGAGCAGAACTTAAATAAGGATTTGATTACCTCTTCGTATTGCTTCTTCAGTTTGGCGTTCTCCTCCTTCAGACGGGAGACCTCCAACTCTAGCTCATTGGTGTAAGCCTATAACCAAGTCCATAATCTTTTATGCTTGAAGACCAAAGACTTAGAGAGAGAGAGAGAGAGAGAAGGGACACGCCAACCTGTTTCCTTGCGCGTGATCTGGCGGCAGATTCCCGGTTCTTGATCATTCTCCTACGGTAACGATCTGTACCGACGACGGAGTTCTCCGGCAACCTGTTCTTGGAGCAGAACGAGAAGAGCGCGGTGGGAGATGGTGGACCGTCTATCGCACCGGAGATTGCAAAGGGGATGAAGCAGGCGTTCTGGCCATTCGAACTACTATTGGAGTGGGAATCGGCATGAGGCCTCAGATACTCGAACTCCATCCCGGAGTTCAAGCTGAGGGCGGTCTGAGGGAGGGTGGGAGAGAGTGGAGGAGGCAGCAGCGGTAGCTCCTCAACGGCGTGGGGCGAGATGGTGCGGGGCCTGTTCAGTGGTCCAGCGAGGAAGTCCTGTAAAATCATGCCCTTGAAGGAAGGTGACGAGGCTGGGTGATGGTGGTGGTAGCTTTGATGATCTAAAGGTATTAGGAGCCTCTCGTGGTGGAGGGTGGTGAGACTTATGTCGTTCCACACCTCCTCCACGGTCCTCCTCCTTATTGTAGGTGGGATGAGGACGGAGGGATTCGAGGAAGGGGAGGACTTTGAGGAAGAAGAGGACGACACGATGTTGCTACTGCTACTCTTATGGTCGGCGCGGCTGTTCTTCTTGTGGTGGTTGTCATGCTCCAAGAGCCGCATGACAAGCGACGAAGTATGCAGGAAGAGGAAAAGAGATACACTGGTGCAAGGAGAAGACAAGCTTTCCTACCTGTGGCAATGATGTGATAAGAGAGGCGCTGCCATGATGAATCGGGTGCCAATGCATTTTCTTCGCCTACAAACAACTCACTATCTCCTCCTAACCAAAATAAAGTCATTCGTCGTACGAAGGTAACCCATGCATGTACACGTGCCAGCGATTCACAGTGTTCCAGACAACTTCAAACAAGTTATACATAAAAGGCTACCTGTGACTTAAAAAACCCAATGGAATTCACACTGCTTCCAAAGAACCCTTATGGATTTGTATGTGTTTTTTATTTTTGCTTTTCTTCCTTCATTTCTTTGCTTCTATTATAGCGTGGTACAGAGAGGACCGAGCGGAGCAGTGAGTGCAGGTGCCTTTGTCTTGATAGTTCGAGGGTCGACATGATATGAAAGGAGAGGTGACGGGTGAAGTATATGTTGCGGTGGGGCAACGAGAACCGCCGGCCATAAGTGGCCAAACAGTAAGATAACTCCTCTGAGGATGTGACTGCTCTCTGTAGTGTTTATACTGTACTGTATCGGAAAAGAATATATTCCCAAGAATAGAGCAAAAAGGAGGGCTGATGTTGAGGACAATAATAGACGAACCAAGGGTGACGATTCTGATGCGTCCATCACTCTTATCAAATATCCCTTCCACGAACTTTGTCATCCTATGACATCTCAATCTTAATCACACTGGACAAGCTTCTCAAAACCAGGCTGCATCCGTGGTTTAATCGGTTGGATGGAAAACCGGTCTACGATCCAATTTGATTTATCTAGAAATATAGACGTATTTTACATTTTATACGTTATCCTATTATTTTGTTATATATATATATATATATATATAT